CCTGGTACAGTAAGACGATATAAGCCAGCAGCGGGGGTGGAAGGCCGATTTCTTCGAGGACCAGCAGCATCCACCGATGGGAAATCGATGGGAAAGCCTGCGCAAAGTCGAAGGAGGCAATGAGCGGCAGGTCCGTGCCTGCAGATGGGACCATCGAGTAACATCTGGCAAAAGCGTCCAATTCGACTATGTTGGTCCCAAATTGCCGTCCCTGGATAAAACCTCGCTGAAGTTTATTCGCAATCTTAGACCACTCCCTGGAGAACGAGGACATGATGGCGGCGGTGATGAGCTTGTTATCAGTGTTTTTGAGGCCCAGGGGTCGAAGCTTATCACAGTCACGAACGCAACCTCCTCCATCTTGATCTCCCTCCTCCTCACCTTTCGGGATATACACGCCTAGCAGATGATTGAAGCCCCAGAGGGCCCAGCCACCGTCCAGGAGCCAGAACATCATCTCCGAGAGGGTCTCAAGGGCTTGGGGAGTCTTCTGCCACGCGGCGTACGGGATACAGTCAGGACCAGGGGCGCTGTGATTTTGCTTTCTCAGGATCGCAGACATCAGGCTCTTGGTCGGGGGCGGGATGCGATTCAGGTCGATGTGACCTGTGAACCTCTGGATGTAGGTCCGTGCCTTTTCCACAGGGGTATCCTTCGCATTGAAAATCTTGCCCCAATGCTCGCTGATCGCTGAAGCCATGTCCAGCGGATCGGAGAGAAGCTGATCATTGCGGCGAATACCGCGCACAAGAAGGCGGCGGTCGAAGGGAGCCCACAACTTCGCCCGCCTCTGCAGACGACGGAGACGTTGCCGTAACTTCTTCTTCTCTGATTCTGGAGCTTCCGAGAGATTTTTGCCCAGACGTTTTATCTTGTTCATGTGGTCAGTCGTTTCCAGAGAATTGATCAGGTCAGCAAAGGCCCCAGGGTTCTCCAAGTAGATACGGTTCGTCTCCGCGTCAGTCTGAAGGAACTGCTTAGCAAGAGGGTACGCCTTGATGAGTTTATTCCCCAAGGTGAGGTCTTGACGCCAGACAGCCCTGGAAATCGAGCGGCAGAGAATGATACGCCCCAGGATAGAGTCCGAAGCCTGTCCCAAGGAAGCATTGCGAGCAAATCTGGCACCCTCTTTCATCAGCGTCTTAAGAAACAAAAGGCGGATCGGCGGCGAGTACTGCTCGATGTCCCCGCACTGGAGGTAAGCCTGTACAAACCTGGCGTATTCAGGGGTGCCGAAGAGGTCTCGATTAATGGCTCGCTCTTTATGGTGTTTTTGGCCACTAGGGTGAAAGTCAACTTTAATCGCAGCGTGATCAGAAAGCCGTTGATGGATCACAACCTCAGCGAGACCCTGCGTCACCCCACATACGTTAAATTGCTTGAGAGCCCACCCAGGAAGAGAAGTGAAGGCCCTATCAATGATGCTCATCGTGTCATTCGGCCTGTACACGTGGGTGGGGTCAAGCTGCTCAATTTCAACTAACTTCCCAAGAAGGTTCCTCCAGATGGCGTCCTGTGTGGCCCTCCAGGTCAGGTACCCTTCTCCAGGAGCAACAAAACTGGCAGGATTGACTGGGGATGGGGGTGCGGCGGCGATGTTGAAGTCCCCTATGAGAACGACGATTTTGTTGAGCGGGTCCTCTTTGGCCTCCTGAAGTTTCCCAAGAATGTGGTTAGCTATCTGGATCTTCTCGTGCCTCTGGAGCCCATAATTATGGATATTGTAATGAGCAATCCAAGCTGAACCCCCATCGATCTGGATGTCTGTAAAGAGTACCCTGCCCTGCACCAGAGGTTCACTTGACGAGTCAACCTCAAAGTCTTCAAACCTGTGCTCAGGGATCATCGTGAGAACCCCTCCGGCAGCGTTCGGCAAAAAACTGGCGTGGCAAATGTACGGCTTGCGCAGAAAATGAATCATGTTCCTGGCTTCTGCCTCTGAGCCGTGCGTTTCCTGTACAGCAACGATGGACGTGGGAGACATGAGGGAGGAGAGGTAGTGGAACTTCTTGGACTTGGTGGAGGGGTCGAAGTGGAAGAGAGCATTAGCGTTCCAACTGGCAAAGCACAGCGAAGCCGAGGTGGGGCCAGGACCCAGCCAAGGCCTCAGGAACTAGTTAAAGAGACCACGAACCTTCCTCAGCCGCTGGGGCTGACATGCATCTGGAAACTCTCTCTGCCAGCCGCTGCTTGTCGAGGCCCAGGGCCTGCAAGTTCGGGATGTTCCATTCCACAGACGGCTGAGCACCAGGCGGTGCAGGGGTAAAACGCAATAACTTCTTCCATGCGAGGGAGAGTTCACCGCGATCTTTGTCCGTGTAGAACCGATGCTGGGGATATTCAGCTTCAAATTCTCTGCGAATGAGTTTGAGACCGAGCTCTCTGCGTATGGTGGCCTGGTTCTTGTCGATGCTGATGAACAGGTCTGTCTGACCGCCCGTGGGAAGGGCCGCAAAGAAACGTCTCCACGTGTTATCTCTCTGCCTGATTGCAGCCATCGCCTGGCGGAGAGCTCTGGAGGCGAGGTGCTGCTGGCCCGTGAACTGAATGATGAATCTTTTCGCTGCAGGGCCATCTTCAGGGCGCAGGACCTCAAAGTCGTCCACGTCCAAGGCTGCGTCCTGCATCCAAGACTTGATGGCGTCGCAGACCGCTTGATGGGTAACCAATTCCTTTGAACGCACAACCAATATGGTGGGATCCGTCGGGCGGTTGAAGCCGTTCGGCAGCTCGATCTTCGGGGGGGGCGGTTCGGTCTTGACAATATGGAGCTGTCGCTGCAGGTGCTCAATCTGCTTCTCAAGGTACTGCAATCTGTTGCCATGATCCTCGACTCGGGACTCCACTCGGTGCATTCGAGCCTCAACCTGTCGATCGATGCCCTCAGCGTGGGAGGCGAACGTGCGGGAGAGAGCCGTGACGCTGGACTGGATGGATGCGATGGCAGCCATGACCTCCCTCCTCGTCGCATCAACGTGGGCCCGCAAATCGGTCTCCTCAGAGAGAGGAAGAGATTCTCGTGTACGTCCAGGGCTGCCAGTGCCGCCACTACCAGAGCCAGGAAGAGAATCCCGAGCGTCATGAAATTCACCTTCGGGGGTGTCGCCTGCCACAAGAACTGGTGAGGTGGCGTGCGCCGATCTCGATCTGTCACGTGCACCATCTTGATTGGCCGATGGTGATGAGCCTGTAGTTCCTGCCATGCTGCGCCGACACAGACACTGTGTTGGCACCCAAGAATCGTGATGATTCACAGCCGAGCAAGAGACAGACAACTGGGGTGCCGCCAGCGCACGACACGCTGGATCGCTCAGAAGGAGAGCTGCCCGCTCAAAATGGGACCTGTTCCCACTTGAGCCAAAATGGCACCGGATTCCTCCTCCTCCTCCTCCCCCTCCTCCTCCTCCGCCTCCTCCTCCTTATCCTCTGTTATGACTTGCAGTTGAACAAAAATATTCAAATCGTGGAAAAAAAAGGCACTCACTGCTGGACGAGATGAAAGCACCAGGAACGAGTTAAAGAAGTCATCGGGAAAACCAAGCATACACTAAATGAGTTTGGCGCCAGACAGATTACAAATCAGAATGAACTCGTGAACTCCTCATCCGATGACTCACCAAAGTCGTCGCCACTGGGGTCAAACGTAGAACAACACCGAAAAAGAGAAACACCCTGATTGTCTTGAGGGCCGAATAGAAGACCTTTCCCAAGAACAGCAGGAAGGCCCCGCAAAACCCAGGACGGAGCAGCGAAAGAGGACGCGGCGATCTCCTCCATCCGCGGTTCCGTGCTGCTCGAAGCACCGCGACGACCCACAGCGACGAGATCCTCCGCGACGAAACCCCTCATAACTTGCGAGTCGAGGAGGGCCCCTTCGACTGGATGGTGGGCAACCCCCTCTTTCAAGATACGCCTGGGCATCCGCCACGGCCGCGCTCCCATAGTTAGAGGGGAGCCTCCACGGCGACGGCCGACGGGGCGAAGACGGGCGCCTCCACGCGCAGTTCCCTCTCAAAACCTCCCGCGGAAGCGGACTCTCGTGCAGCCCGAGCCCCAAGCCGCCGCCCACGCTGGACGCAGCGAGCAGCTCTGTTGGCCTCGCCGTCGCCACGCCGATGCATTGCGCGCCAGCGCGTGCAGGGCCGCCCTGCGGCGGAGAGCCTCGAGCCGGGAGGGCTCCCTCCCTGCCGGCTTCGCCTGCCGGGCGGGGGGCCTGTGGCCGCTGGGCGACGTCGCCCCCTGCCGGCCAAGCAGCTCGAGGCCACCTCGGCTGCCTCCACGCTGCCTTCATGCTGCCGCGGACCGCGTGGGCTTCTGCGACAACCTCGCGATTCGAGAAACCAGAGAGGACAGATACCGCTAATGCCAAGACCTTTCCTGGGGCGCGTTCTGACGATGATTTCGAGGCGAACCCCGTGGCGACGAGGGCATCCCAGGAGGCCCAACAAAGCAAAAACGAGGCAAGGGTAGCGGTACTGGCATCGTTTCGTCCTCTGAATCTCGGCTGCCTCCCTTTTGCCGCGGACTCGCGGGAGCTCCTGCGACAACCTCGCGATGGCGTTGTGCGCCAACCAGCGCGCCCAATCACGACCAGCCTCACGCTGCGCCGCTGAGCGCCTCGGCGCGCACTCTTCGCCGTCCCGTAAAACCATTTCCCGAGCAGCGGCAAAAAACCTCCAGCAGCTTCAACTCCAGCTCGCCATGAGCAACCGGATTGAGCAATAGGGGCTTCGATCGCTTATGAGCGGCCTCGTACATGGCTACAGAAAATGTTCAAAAATTATTGGGATGACGGCGGATGAGGAGGGCGCAAGTCGAAGAAAGCAGGACTCCTCTGCGGGGGTGGCACGCTCGCAGAAGTTCCCGAATAATACAGGCCACGTCTTCTTGAACGCGTCCACACCCGCCTGCGGTGCAGCTGCGACGGGAGCTCATGATCGTCAAAAATCATGATCGTCGACGACGGGACCGTCGTAATTACGAGAATCCTAATCGTCCCCCCTGTGAACACGGCCTTAATTACTGTCGGAGCTATCAATACTATCGCTGTACTTCCCTTCACCTTAAGATACTGATCACTGACCTCAACAAGACTAGTTCCATCCGTCATTCACACTGCCGCTCTGCGTGATCAGTCGCAAGAGCATCACCATCCGTCGCCGTAGCCACATTATCGTGCGCGTCTTGCCCACCTCCTCCATCGATCGATCGTGTAGCGGCAAGCACCTCTTCATCATACTCAGGGTCGGGAGATGTTGCTTAGCGTGTCGCCGCGGCGGCCACGGCGACTGCGAGCGGATAGCGTGTCGCTCCACTCCGCGGGGCGGGAAGCTCGGAAAGGCTCGGGACGTTGACGCTTGGGGAACGGGACGTGGATAGCGCGTCGCTCCGCAGCGTGGTGGGCCAGAACCAGCGGGGCGACACGCTATCCACAAGTTCCCCACCGTATCTGCGTCCCATCTTCCCCATCCTCCACCCCCTCGTCTCATCATTCCTCCTCCTGCGCCACCTCGGGCATGCGTGCCTCACGTCTCTCTGTTTCCTTCCTTCCTTCATTCTCGTCGTTCCTCCTCCTCCTGCTCCTCCTCCTCCTCCTCATCATCATCATCATCATCAACATCATCATCATGATCAGCATCATCATCAGCATCATCATCAGCAGCATAATCACCATCATCATCATCATCATCATCATCAGCAGCAGCATCATCATCATCAGCAGCAGCATCATCATCATCATCGTCACCACCACCACCACCACCACCAGCGTCATCAGCATTGTCATCAGCATCATCATCATCATCAGCATCATCATCATCACCGTCATCATCATCATCATCAGCATCATCCTCATCAGCATCGTCATCATGATCATCATATTCATCATCATCATCAGCATCATCATCATCGGCATCGCCATCGTTATCGCCATTGTCGTCATCAGCAGCAGCAGCATCAGCATCAGCATCAGCATCATCAACATCAACAACATCATCATCATCATCAGCAGCATCATAATCAGCATCATCACCATAATCATCACCCGTGTCGTCATCGTCATCAGCATCCTCGTCAGTAGTAGCGTCGTCACGCTCAGCATTACCATCCTCCTCAGCAGCAGCAGCGTCATCAGCATCATCCCCACGACCATCATCATCAAAATCAGCATCCTCATCATCGTCGCCATACTCATCATCAGCAGCACCAGCATCAGCATCATCAGCATCGTCATCATCAGCATCAGCAGCAGCAGCAGCATCAGCATCAACATCATCATCAGCAGCATCATCATCAGCAGCAGTATTACCATCATCGTCGACAGTTGCATCGTCATCGTCAACATCATCATCATCGGTAGCATCGTCATCATCAGCAGCAGCATCATCATCAGCATCATCACCACCAAGCATTTGCACGGTCATTATCAGCAGCGGCAGCATCATGATGAGCAGCAGCAATATCATCATCATGAGCAGCAGCAGCAGCATCGACATCGACAAAGACATCGACATCGTCATCATCACCATCGCCATCACCACCACAACCACCATCATCATCACCATCAGCATCACTATCATTACCAGCAGCAACAGCGTCATCAAACTATTCCAACTCCTCCTCCTCCTCCTCGTCCTCTTCCTTCTCCTCCTCCTCCTCCTCCTCCTCCTCCTCTTCCTCTCTCCTCGTACCTCTTATCTCTAACCTCTTACCTCTTACCTCTTACCTCTTCCTCCTCCTCCTCCTGCTCCTCCTCCTCTTCTCCTCCTCCCCATTCCTCCCCCCCACTTACCTCCTCCTCCTCCTCCTCCTCATCCTCAGCCTCATCCTCATCCTCATCCTCATCCTCCTCCTCCTCCTCCTCCTCCTCCTCCTCATCATCATCATCATCATCATCATCATCATCATCATCATCATCATCATCATCATCATCATCATCATCATCATCATCATCATCATCATCATCATCATCATCATCATCATCATCATCATCATCATCATCATCATCATCATCATCATCATCATCATCATCATCATCATCATCATCATCATCATCATCATCATCATCATCATCATCATCATCATCATCATCATCATCATCATCATCATCATTATCGTCCAATCCATTTCCTTATGAATAACTCCTCCCTGTCGCACCCCGAGGCTGGTCGAAAGGGCGGGCCTCGCGTTTCGCCTGAGACTTCCTCACCATCTACGATACTGAAGCTTCAAAAACGACAACAGCTTCACAGATGGAGGACAGGTGGTTTGCAAAATGTGGCTCTCGCCCTAGCGCCGCGCACACTCGTTTTCGTCTTTAATGTGCAAAAATTTCACAAATTGAGGGCGGGTCGTTGTCCAAATGTGGCTCTCGGCGAAGCGCCGGGCACACTTGAAAAAAACAAAAAATAAGAATAAAAATAGGGCGGGTGATTTTCAAAACGTGGCATGTGGCTTAGCGCCGCGCACATTCGCATCTAAAATGTGCAAGAGTTTCACGGATTGAGTGCGGGCGGGTTTCGAGATGTGGCTCTCGCCTTGGCGCCGCGCACATTCGTCGTAAAGGTTTGCAAGAGTTTCATGGAATATTGAGGGTGACTCTTTTTCAACATGTAACATGTGAATCTCGCCGTGGCGCCGCGCACATTCGTTTTAACAGTTTGCAAGAGTTTCACCGACTCTCATGGTTAACATACCAGAGACGGCGTTTGAGACCGATCCATGATTTTCAGGGCGCAACAATTACGTTGATTCGCGGTGTTCTGACCCGATTCAGGATCGCCAAGACCTCACAATCAGGTTAACTCGTGGCGTTGAAATCCTGAGAATGGTGTTTTCGCACGCTTCAAGATTTGTACACGGTTGTCCCCCAACCGGGCAATTCCCTCCGTGGAAATGAACCTTCTAGGGGCCCATGAAGAGGGAGCTTGGAGGGAGGGTGTATTCCACCATCCTTGATGAGTCTCGGGTTCGCACTGGCCCTCCTCCTCCTCCTCCTCCCTCCTCCTCCCTCCTCCTCCCTGCTCCTCCCCCTCCTCCCGCCCTCCCCCCCGCCATCGATCGGGCACCTGTCCTCGCCTCCCTCCCCGCCCTGGCCCTCGTCTCTTCGCCCGTCGCCCGGCCTCGCCGGCGGCCAGCGCCACCTTGCAGATCTCCGCGCGCAGCAGCGCCACGGGGAGCGGGTAGTAGGAGCCTCGGGCAGGCTCGCCCCCGCCCCTCCGCGCCGGGAAGAGCGCGCGCGCACCCCGCCCCCCCGGAGGGGGGGCAGCGGCAGCGGGCGCAGCAGAAGGAGGAGCGCGAGCAGGTGACTGCCCCGCGCGCGCCAAGAGGGAGGAGGAGGAGGAGGAGGAGGAGGAGGAGGAGGAGGTGACGGCCCCACGCGCGGCACGGGAAGGGGGAGCGGGAGTGGGTAACTGCCCACCGCGGGCCAGGGCCGTGGCCTTGAAGCGCAACGGGCGGGGGCTGTCTGGATGAAGCACAGGGGCGGGACAGCTGCAGCGTGGCAGTGTGCCCAGCTCCACGTGAGCACTTCTTTTTTTTTCCAGCGCAAACACCTGATGATGAAAACTGCCAGCTTCCCAACTGATGGGAAGTGGACTCCACCATGTAGGCAAAGATAAGGCGATGGGGACCGAATCCCGAGCAGTGCAAAGTGGTGGCCAGGCCCACCCGTTCGTGTGACGACGCAGAGACCCAAACAGCAAGAGGACAGGCAGGCGGAGCAGAGAGGACGGAACGGCGGGGAAGGCCGAGGGGCCGGGCAGAGAGACTTACAGCAGCTGTTTAGCGAACATCGCCCTGCCCTCACCACCGAGCGGGCCAAGCCGCCCCAGCCAAGGGCGGTGGAGGCGGCTGGCACGAGGGAGGAGGAGGAGGAGGAGGAGGAGGAGGAGGAGGAGGAGGAGGAGAAGGAAGAGGAGGAGGAGGAGGAGGAGGAGGAGGAGGAGGAGGGGGACGAGGAGGAGGAGGATGAGGAGGTGGAGTAGGTCGAGGAGGAAGAGGAGGAGGAGGAGGAGGGGGACGAGGAGGAGGAGGAGGAGGAGGCGAGTCCTGAAGGAAACGGGCCCTGGACCCCCCTCGGTGTGCCCTGGGGCCTGTTCCCCATCCAATCCCGAGAATTGGTCTTCGACGGCCCCAGGCCCAAGGGGCCAGGAGGGCCCCGGGGCGAGAGCGAGATAACCTCAGGACCCCTTTCCCTGACGACCTCCTCTCTCCTCATGGCGGTTCCCGGGGGTGTCCGACATCGGCCATTGGACCCGGTCCTGGGGTCCGTCCTGGCCAGTGTTTCGAGCCGCGTCAAGCCGTGGCGACACTACAGCCTCCAGGAGCGCCCGAAGAAGCGAAGGCGTCGACGTCTTCGTCTTCGTCTTCGTCTTCGTCTTCGTCGACGTCGACGGCGGGGGAAGACGGGGCACAGCAGGACAAGCGACGGTGCCGCCCAGAGGCCGTCCCGTGAAGGGGGCGGATGGGGCACACGTGCGCCAGACCTTGGATGGCGGCCCTGTGGATGCAAGACACCCCGGCCAGCAACAGGGGGGCATTGCGAAGGCCGGGGTCAGCGATTCAGCTCACGTCGCTGGCTTACTCGGCGCCTCACGGCGCTGGACGCGGCATGCATCCAGGAAAGCGCCGGGCGGCAGAGCCGAAGCCGGCTGCATGCAGCAGCTTTCGCACCCCTCCTCCCACCCCCGCCCGATCGTCAGACCTTGGAAGCCTGACCCCCGACGTCACGGTTGCGGAGAGACGTAAAGCTCGGGTTCGGGGGACTCGGGCTGGCCTGACGGGGCCATCATGAAAATGACGAGACCCACTGTGAAATTTGACGCGAACTCCCGCCGCAGACATCCCACGAGAACTGGGCCGTCAAAATCCAGGACGCGCTCGGCAAACAGCTTTGGCAAACCTGAGTTCTGGCGTACTTGAGTCTCACGTTTCCCCAGAGGAGGAGGGGGAGGGGGGAAAGAGGAGGAGGGGGAGGAGGAGGAGGAGGAGGAGGAGGAGGAGGAGGAGGAGGAGGCGGCCAGGAGGAGGAGGCGAAGAGGAGAGGAGGAGGAGGAGAGGAGGAGGAGGAGGAGGAGGAGGAGAAGGAGAGGAGGAGGAGAGGACGAGGAGGAGGAGAGGAGGAGGAGGAGGGCCAGGAGGAGGAGGAGGAGGAGGAGGAGGGGAGGAGGAGAAGGAGAAGGAGAAGAAGGAGGAGGAGGAGGAAGGAGGAGGAGAAGGAGAGGAGGAGGACGACGAGGAGGAGGCGAGGAGGAGGAGAGGAGGAGGAGGAGGAGAGGAGAGGAGAGAGAGGGAGGAGGAGGAGGAGGAGAGGGAGGAGGAGAGGAGGAGGAGGAGGAGGAGGAGGAGGAGGAGGAGGAGGAGGACCTCTGGAGGTCTGGACTTCCATCTCTGTGGCAGAACGGCCGACGGCCTCCCCAGCCCGGGCTGCGCCCAAGGCCGCGCCGCAGGCCTCGCGCCGGGTTCCCAGGAGACCCTCCAGAAGCAGATTACCAGGGGACGGACCCAACCAAGATGGCCCCCTGAGCGTCCCAGAGGCATCCAAGGCTCCCCCCAGGAGGCCCCAAGAGGCACCCGACAGGCGTCCAAAAGCCCCATGAAGCCCCAGAGAGGCCCCACGAGCCGCCCAGAAGCCCCCCAGAGAGACCCTTGGTTCTCCTCCGTCTCCTGTTCCACATCCGTCTTTCTCTCCTCCTTTATCTTCACCGCTGCCTTATGTTCCCTCCTCACCCAGCGCGCGCTCCGGCCGTGCGGTGCTCACACGCGCGGGAACTGCGCCGAGATACCCTGCCCGATCCACGCGCCAGAGATTCACCATCGACGACGCGCCAGTTGAATGGATCGCCCACTAGCGCCGCGCGCCAGATGCTCCGCGGCCCTGTCCGTCACCTTGTTACAAGCCCAAACGCCAAGCTTAACGGACCTGACGGATTGAAGACAAGCGCTCTCGCCAGGTGCTCCGCGGCCCTGTCCGTCAGCTTGTCACATCCCCTGAAGTTGACGGATTGCAGACAAGGGCAGCGCGCCAGGTGCTCCGCGGCCCTGTCCGTCAGCCTGGAACATTTCTCGAAGTTGACGGATTGCAGACAAGCGCAGCGCGCCAGGTGCTCCGCGGCCCTGTCCGTCAGCTTGTTACATGCCCCGAAGTTGACGGATTGCAGAGCGGCGCAGCGCGCCAGGTGCTCCGCGGCCCTGTCCGTCAGCTCGAAGCATCCCCTGAAGTCAACGGATTGCAGACAAGCGCAGCGCGCCAGGTGCTCCGCGGCCCTGTCCGTCAGCTTGTTACATCCCATGAAGTCGACGGATCGCAGACAAGCGCAGCGCGCCAGGTGCTCCGCGGCCCTGTCCGTCAGCTTGTTACATCCCATGGAGTTGACGGATTGCAGACAAGCGCAGCGCGCCAGGTGCTCCGCGGCCCTGTCCGTCAGCTTGTTACATGCCCTGAAGTTGACGGATTGCAGACAAGCGCAGCGCGCCAGGTGCTCCGCGGCCCTGTCCGTCAGCTTGCACAATCCTGAAGTTGACGGATTGCAGACAAGCGCAGCGCGCCAGGTGCTCCGCGGCCCTGTCCGTCAGCTTGCCACAATCCCCTGAAGTTGACGGATTGCAGACAAGCGCAGCGCGCCAGGTGCTCCGCGGCCCTGTCCGTCAGATTGGCAAAGAGAAGTTGACGGATTGCAGAGCGGCGCAAGCGGCTGTCCGGCCCTGTCCGTCAGCTTGTTACATATCCTGAAGTTGACGGATTGCAGACAAGCGCAGCGCGCCAGGTGCTCCGCGGCCCTGTCCGTCAGCTTGTCACATCCCCCGAAGTCGACGGATTGCAGACAAGCGCAGCGCGCCAGGTGCTCCGCGGCCCTGTTCGTCAGCCTGAAACATCTCTCGAAATTGACGGATTGCAGACAAGCGCAGCGCGCCAGGTGCTCCGCGGCCCTGTCCGTCAGCTTGTCACAATACCTGAAGTCGACGGATTGCAGACAAGCGCAGCGCGCCAGGTGCTCCGCGGCCCTGTCCGTCAGCTTGTCACATCCCCAGAAGTTGACGGATTGCAGAGCGGCGCAGCGCGCCAGGTGCTCCGCGGCCCTGTCCGTCAGCTCGTAACATCTACCGAAGTTGACGGATTGCAGAGCGGCGCAGCGCGCCAGGTGCTCCGCGGCCCTGTCCGTCAGCCTGCGACATTCCCAGAAAACGACGGATTGCAGAGCGGCGCAGCACGCCAGGTGCTCCGCGGCCCTGTCCGTCAGCTTGTTACATGCCCCGAAGTTGACGGATTGCAGAGCGGCGCAGCGCGCCAGGTGCTCCGCGGCCCTGTCCGTCAGCTCGAAGCATCCCCTGAAGTCAACGGATTGCAGACAAGCGCAGCGCGCCAGGTGCTCCGCGGCCCTGTCCGTCAGCAGGCGACATCTCCCGAAGTTGACGGACTGCAGAGCGGTGCAGCTCGCAAAACGTGCTGCAGCTGCATCTTTCAAGAGGATGCACCCGCTGGCATCTACCGCCTGCCGCATGCAAAACGCTGATCCGCAAGACGTCTACTTCGTCGCGAAAGCCTGTGCAAACTCGCAAATCCATGAAGGAACCCCTTGTCATCGAAATAATTCAGAATCTGGCCTACGCATGAGTCCGACAGATGAAAAAGAGATGCGCCCCTTCCCAGGAGATCCATAACTGCTCGTGGCAGTGCGGCCGGGAAACCTTCAACAAGATACCAACGCCTTCTTGAGCCGAACTGGCTACGGGACTGGGACCCGTTGCTTATCCTGGAATCGTTGTTTGATGGTCCTGGGGCCCTGGGAAAGCCCTGGAGGCCGAGAACTAATGAGAACCTGCCGTCATCATCCGCGGGGGGGTTGTGCACCCGTCCTTGAGGCGGGTCCGCCTCCGCGACGAAGTCGAGACACGGGAGCCCACGACGACGAGCTCTAGACGCGGCTTGTGGCCCGCGACGACGTCTCGAGACACGGAAGCCCGATGGGGGCAAACCCTGACCGAAGCAGCGGGAGGAAAGATACCTAACACCCAGGCAACCACATGTGAGCGACGATCAGAACGGGTCCTACGCCAGATGACGTGGCTACCTCACGCGGCGGCTTACGCAGGCCGCTAGCGCGGCACGCTGCATCGGCAACGAGGGCGCTGACGCGCGACCTTACGTGGGGAGCTTACGCGCGAATGTCGGCGCCGACGACCCCGTTTTCTCTCGTCGCTCATGTGAATCCTACCCCTGCAGGCCAGATGTCTGAAAGACGTGCTGCCAAGAGAAGGGACCCCCGTCGGGGCCCTCCCGGGACCGACGGGAAGGCAGACCCCTCTCTCGCTGCTGGCGCAGACGGTCGCACCCCCATGAGTCGCCGCCGAGACCGGCAGGACCACAGGAGATCGGTGCGCCTGCGTGCGAACACCCCGCCACGCCGGGGTCTGACGGTTCGTGGCCCACGGTGTGGGCCTTGCGGTCGCTCGGGGGCTGCTCTCGAGGCGCGGGTGGGGTGCAGGGCTCGTGGCTTCCGATGGTCGTTGCCTGTGACTTGCAACTCGGTCGCGAGGGGCCCCTGAGCCTGTTCCGCCCCACCTTCTCCCTGGTCAGACGCTTGCACCAGATCGCCTGAGCCGCCTGCATGTTTACACTCGATGGCGCTGCTTCTGCGTCGCGTGTCTTGTTTGTTTCTGCACTTGGCGTGCCCATGGCCACCTGGCGAATGGTTGGTCTGCTCGCCCACCATGCGCCGTCTGCCTTCGCCTGCCGATCCGTGTGAGCGGTGGCTCCCCGTGCCCTGGTTTCACGCCCGGCCCGGTGGGAACCGTGGCCCATCCAAGTCGCTTGCGGGCAAGCTCGATGCTGCAGCAAGTGTCAGTGGATGTATGCGTGCGTGGCGCTGTATTTGAGAATGCGTGTCCCTGAGACGACGTTCGGCGGCGACGAGAAGGGCGCATAGCCCAGGGGCGGGCATTACACGCATTCGCCCAGGAGCCTTGTCGAAGACGTAGGTCATCGGCGCCCCTGGATGCATGTATTGCTCTCCCCTGGGCTATTCGCCCCTCTCGTCGCCTCTGAGACGCATGCACGTATGGGGTGTGGCGTGCCCGCTGCGCGGTGAGCGAACTTGCGCCCCCGCCCGCTCTGACCGGTGGGGAGCACGAGGGAGCCCCGCCCCTCCGAGGACCCCGGATCTGGCCACAAAGCCCGCGCGAGCTCCCAGGCGCGCGGACCCCAGGCAGCCCGAAAGATGGTGCAGATCGGCTGTTATCTCCCTCCCCCCGCCCTCCTTTCTTTTCATTGGCAAGGCACCACAGCTACGAGGCCGCTTCTTCCCCGGCGCCCATTGCACGCATCGGCGTCCGGCGACATGGCTTGCTTTTGTCCCTGGGCGGGCGAGTGGTAAGCAGCCAGAATGTCCCCTCTGGGGGGCGGGGCAGACAGATACGGTCAGCGCATGTACGATGGACGCGCGTTTCGAGTGGGGCGCGGCAAGCGAAAGCGGCCAAGGGTGGGCTCAAGGAGCACGGATGCAAGGGTAATGTTCGAAAGTTGCTCATCTGTACCATGCGATTTGAATGCAGGGCACAGCCATACGGGCTATGCAGCCATGCGGCCGCCCCCAGGTGGGCGATTTATACCAGGAAGCTGGAACCCACACACACACACACACACACACACACACACACACACACAGACACAGACACAGACACAGACACACACACACACACACACACACACACACACGCACGCACGCACGCACGCACGCACGCACGCACGCACGCACGCACGCACACACACACACACACACACACACACACACACACACACGCACGCACACGCACACGGAGGATTCACGTGTGGACCGCCAGGAGACCACGCGCTGTATGCACGTGCAGGGTGCTGGCGTACACCCCGCTGCAGAGAGGCCGAGCGCTGGAAAGACATCTTGTGGGCCCCAAGAATATACACCACCACGTCGATTCCTCCTCCCTCCTCTACCCTCCTCTTCCATTCCTCTATCCTGGGAGAGGGAGGGGGTGAGGGAGGTGGTGGTGGTGGTGTACATTCTTAAGCCCCGCGCATCTGGCCACATGCGAGCGACGGTCAAAAGCGGGTACTACGCGAGATGGCACAATGGCCTTAGGCCGCAGCTAACGCGGGCCGCCAGCGCGGCACGCCACACTGGGAACGCGGGCGCTTACGCGCGACCTTGCGCGGGCAGCTTACGCGCCAACGTCGATGAAGACGTCCCTGTTTTTCTGCGTTGCTCATGTGCGTCCAGTTCTCGCCCAAGCCAGCCGCATCAAATGTCTCAAGCTTCCTCGTCAGCAGCCATGGTGCCCCTAGGGCCCAGCATTTCCGCATTGCGCTAACAGCGCACCGAGGACACGGTATCGCGAGCACTTTCATGTCTACGCTACCGAAGACACGGTATCGCGAGCATTTTCATGTCTCTGCGATGGTCGTGGTAGCCGCCACCTTGGCGGAACATTCACAAGCTTCTGCTGTCTGCTGATATTACATCCGCCTTTGGCCCGTGCCCTCCAGCACTGATAAGCCAGGGCGCGACGCGATATGTCAGCCACCAGGTAAAAACAACTGCTGCTATCCGAAAACGCATGGCCATTGTCCTAGCACAAATGTAGGACTACGTCCCCGGTCGCCATGGTCTACGTTTACACGACTCTGCACCCAGCACATCGCAACCTGTCCAAATTTAACGCAACGAAACGGCGCTTTGTGGACTGGGGTTTTAACTGCCTCGCCGCTCGCACTGACGATCCAACTGGCGGGGCACCCTTCAACCGGTTCATCAGTTCAGCTGGGTCTGGAACTGGCGCTGCTGCACCAGATGGATGCCGCCCCGTCTTGGAATGGTATGTAATTACCTGACTATCTCTGCGGCGTTCATGTATTGGGTTCAAGTTGCACTGCACTCCTGCAGCGGTGTACTTTGCCACACACGCATGCTGGCCTGGCACCCATGAGCACAGACGCGCTTCCTATCTCACCTGCGACGGGCTGCCCCACCCCACAGCAAAAGCCTCTCCGTCTCCCCATGTTTCACCTCCTCATGATCTACAGGACAAGATCCACATACAAGTCGCTTAACAAAAAAACATTGAAATGGTTTGCAAAATCCTCAACTGCGTGACGACATGCATTGGGCGATATGCGAATTCAACTATGACACCACTGCCCGCCCCGAATCATAGCTCTCGCGTTGACGCTGATCTCTCCGCCACTGGGGCCGCGCGAAGCAGCATGCAGCGCGCCTCGGCCCGCGACCCGCTCCGCAACAGCACCCCCTCGCGCCCGGAGACCGACCACCACCACGTCCCCGCTCCCGCTCGGCGGCGGCGCCCAGGGCCACACAACCCCTCTCCACTCGGGCCCCCGATGCTGAGACACTCGCCCCGACCCGCCCCGGCCCCCCCGCGGAGTGAGGGGCGGAGGGCCTCCGCGGGAGAAGCTGGACAAGCGTGCTCCACCACTCGCAGAGGAACTACAGCCATCGTGCTACCATACGGAACGCTGAATAAGGAACGACGGGGCTTTTCTGGCCAAGGCGACCCTCGGCCACGAGTAGGTTCCTTCAATCTAGGTTTAGGTCGGGCACGTCCTCCTACAGGCGGATTTTGGCCGAGAAGTAAGTCACACAAAAAAAAAAACAAAAATAGTCAAAACTAGTCAAAAAATCGTCCCCTGACTATTGTTCGACTATTTTTGAATATTCCTCCTGTAGAGGGACACGCCCGGCTTAAATCTAGGTTTCAGGAACAGCCCGAAAATCAGAGCCCCTTCTGAGCCCAGAGTGTTCCTTACTTCAGCGCCTTGACTGCACTCGCAAATGACCTGTGTCCGCCTCGGAGGGTTCACGATCCACGAAATCGAGGCGAACATGTGTAGAAGAAGAAAAAACGCTATAAACGTAAACTCTTGACGCTCCGCGCGGCTTCCTTGGATCCGCGCTGGACCCCCTACCTGGCGCGCGGAGCGCGCCAGGGGCGGCGCCAGAGGTGCCGCCAGGGGGGCCCAGCGCAGATCCAAGAAATCCGCGCGGAGCGCCAAAACCTTATGTGTACAGCGTTGTTTCTTCTTCGAGGGTGCCTTCTGACGTTTGCGAGCCGGCACTTTGCGAGTAGTGGAGCGCGCTCGGCGCGGGAAACGCGGGTCCTGGGACCCCCGGGGGGGCGCTGCCCGGCACCACGCCCTCTCCCGAGTGGTCCCCTGGTGGCCCCCGAGGCCCTCCCGCGCGGGGCGGGGATCTACCCATCGACCTTCGGGACCTCGGCAGGGGGTGGGCATGCGTACATCTTGCTCCCCCAGGGGCCCGAACACATCCGTATCGATCGCCCACCGATGTCCCCGCAGATCGCAACCCCAGGCGGTGGCTATACTACAGGGAGAACAAAAGCACATAAACATAAACTTTCAACGCTCCGCGCGGAACTCTTGAATTGGCGCTGGGCCCCCCAACCTGGCGCGTGGAGCGCGCCAGGTGCGGCGCCCGAGGCGCCGCCAGGGGGC